ACACACTCAGTTGATCCCAGTGTGTAGAATACCCAGAGGATGCACCAACCACTAGCTCACCTGAGAGAGTCTACAGGGCCCTCTAGTTCCCCCATCCTGTTCACACTACACACCAAGATGAGTCCACCCCAGAAGGCTGAAGCTTGGGTTCCTCCTTGTGCCTTTTACCCCTGGGCCTCCAGCCTCTCTTTTGGCACCTGCCCCGCCCACCTGTTTTGTGTGGAGTACCTGCCTGCACAGCATCACAGCCAGCACGGTGCCTGCTTCTTTTCCTTGCGACCAACCTGCCCCATTTTTATCCACTGCTATTGCTGTAAAGAGACACCATGACCACCGCAATTCTTATAAGGCCATACCTTCGAAAAGTAACACACCCTAAGAGCCTGTGGGGACCATTTTCATTCAGACCAGACCAGCTAGTTTGGTAAGCTTCTTCCTTTGGTGAAGATCCAGGCAAAACCCCACCTAACGCAAACATCCCAAGACACCCACTGTGTCTTCACCTCGAGCTGAGGGTCCCCTCAGCATATGGTACAGTTCGTGAAAACAATGTTTGTCTTACATCCCTCTGCCATAGTCCTCCACAGAAATTTCCCCCAGAGATGCAGAAATTGCAGATAATGTTAGCAAACCCTTGCAGTCTCCCAGGCTCAGCTCAGTTCTGAATGAGACACCAATGGCTCAGATTGGACCCCGGTTCCCGTCTCTTTCTAGAATCAACAAGGTACATTAGGAAGCGATACCCACTTAGATAACAGGAACAGGCCAACAGGCTACATCCCCACGTGGAGGCCAGCTCCCTGCCCACCTGCCCAGGCCACCTCCTGCCCTATCCCCGCCCCAGAAGATCCATGACCCGCAAAGCAGTTATTAGCGCTTTCGGCTCCATTTAACCACACAAATGGCTTGGTCACAGCTGACTAGTCCCAAATTTGCCCTTGATTTTCTTTTAATTCGCCGTGGCTCAGTCCCCCTGTAATACAGGTAGAGGAGGGATATTTGTTCCCAAACTCCCCTCCTGGGGTTAATCATGCACAGAACAAAACTCCATTTGAGCCACTTAATGATTTCATTTCCACCCCGGGTTGGAAGGCGCTGTGTCTATAATACTAATGCGGCTCCCTCGTTCTGTATACTGCAGATGTCTGTGTGTGAGAGACACGGGAGAGGGGGCTCAGCAGCAGCCGAGCCATCCCCTCCCAGCCAGAGCTGCCGAGCACAGATGGGGGCCTCTCTTTTCCTAGGCTTATCTCCTTACACTGGGACACCTGTCTTAGGGAGTCATTTCAACATCCACCTGCAGGAACTGTACCTAGTCCCCCATAACAGGTTCATCCATTAGCCCGACCTACCCCCTTCCTCACACCAGACAATCGGAGTCAGGGCTGGTTCCCCGAACATCGTCCGGGCCTCAGGAGTGGCACTCGAACATCCTCAGGCCTCGGGAGTGGCACCCATACCTAGAGGACCTCTCCTTCAATGTCAGGGACTGAGAACGCCTCCGTCCTCTGTCTAAACAGTCCCTCCCTCCGCTGACAACAAGCTTTTCCTTCCTAGTAGAGAAACCCACCCAACCCCTGCTCCATCGTGCATACACTGTTAGCTTACACCGTATTTCAGAACCAGCGTGCACGGCAGCATCTCTGCCCCTCGGAGCTCCCCGGGATAGACTATTCACCGGACATCCCATATTCGCAGAGTATCGAATATAAGTGCTCAGAGCATTTTATTTGAATGAGTTGCCTCGATACCATTTTATGTGTGTGGACGTAAACTGTTTCCATAACTAAATAAAGACATTTAAAGCTGTCTCATCTCAAAGCTTCCCAAACAGTGCTAAAAATCTACTCCAAGCCCTGGTAGGGGTCTTAGAAAAAGACCAGGTCACCTTCAGGAAATGTCATTTGTGTGGAAATGGTGCCATCTAGTGGTTGTGAGGAAAATGGCCTCTCACCCAGGAAAGAACCGTGGGTTAGCACACCTCTCCCCAGAGAGCTATGCTCTCCCCTGGATATGCTGAGCCCTTCTCTGACAGCACCCCTCCTAAGTGCAACACATTCCACCTAACTCGTGTGTGCATCCCTGCTCGCCCTGTGTCTGTACCACTGGGATGGACTCAACATCCGGGGCCATTGAACTGGACTCCCAGCCATAGATTCTGGAGGAACACAGTAGCTATCGGAATCAGACTTGTGTGAAGCAGGTGTGTGCAAATAATCAGGCCAGGAATTTAAAACAACTTTACATAAATACACCAAGGGCTCTACGGGAACACATGGGCATGTAGGAACAGATGGATAATATAAACAGAAAGATGGAAACACTAAGGAAAAGTCTAAGGGAAAGGTCCAGAAGAAAATACAACACAGAAGTGAGAATGTCTTTGAAGGACTCATCAGTAGACTGACAATGTTAGCAAAGCATCCATGAGCCTCAAGAAATAACAGCAGGGGCTGGGAAGGGCGCTCTGCTCTAAGAGCTGGCTCTGTAAGCAGGAGGAACTGAGCTGAATGCCCAGCACCTCTATAGACAACAAGATGTGGTGGTTTATACTCCTAGTGCAGGGGAAGTGGAGACAGGAAGATCCTACACACACACACACACACACACACACACACACCAATGAATAGATAACATTATACAGGCCAAGTGTGTAACTCAGTGGCACTTTGTACACTCAGTATGCATGAGGCCATGGGTTCAGCTCCCATCACCAATGAAAAGCAAGAAATAGCAACAGAAAACAAACAAAGAACCATATAGGAGCTGGGGTCAGAATGTCCAAGAGCTACGTATCAGTCACCAAACATTTATGTAACACGTGTGTAATGGGATGATCAAGGGCACAGGAAAAAAGGCCACAGAAGTATTTGGAGGGGTAACAGGTAAGACCATCCCAAAACTCAGGACAGGCACCCAACAACAAATCCAGAGATCGCAAAGAATTCCAAGAACAGGGGAAAAAGAAAGGTCCTTGCCTATTCATACCATCTTCAAAGATTCAAAGTCCAGGATACAAGAACCAGTCAATGTAGAGGTCCCTCAGCAAAGGAAGGAGTAGAGAAGATGTGGTAAATATGCCCAATGGGAGTTTATTCAGGCAGAAAGAACATAATTATGTCACTTGCAAGAAAATGGTTGCAACGGGCTATTACCATATTAAGCAGATTAATTCTGTCTCAGAAAGACAGACATCACATATTTTCCTCTCCTTTCTGAATTCTAGATTTTATATAGATACATGGAGTCATAAATGTGCATATAACACAAAAAATAGAAGTAAAATTGTCTAAAAGACTGAAAGGGACTCACAGAAGTGAAGAGGGGAGAGAAAAGGAAATGGGATAATGTGCTCAAAATGCCTTAAAACTTGTGTGGAAAAGGCCTTACAAAACTCAGCACTTAAAGCAGTGAATGCAAAAAAAAAATCTTTAAAAAAAAAAACGTGGTGAAAAAGACAGAGTAGAGAAAACTCGCTGTCTATAACAAGCAAGGCTGAGAACTCCGTGCAGAAACCGTGCGAGAGCAGAATGAACTACTCAAATTCTGAAAGGATGGAAACACCAGCAGCGTTCAGGAGCCTGCACAGCCATCCTTCTAAAAGGAAAAATAACGACTTCCTCACACTCAAAAACAGAAGAGAATCTTCAGCTGTCTAGCAGGAAATATTTAAAGTTAGTCTGAGAGAAAAGAAAAGGATGCAGGCCAGAAACTGAGAGCCACATAAAGGAAGATGCTAAAGCAGCAATGAGTGGGCATAAAATACAGGAATCCCCAGAACTCCTGCAGGAAATCCACTCCACCCACCCAACTCCCTTCCCAGTCCACACCAGCATCCCTTCAAAAGTGCTGGGATCCCCTGCACTGACTGCAACACATGGCAGCGGAATAGCAGGTAGCTATGTGCCTCCAGCATCAAGCCTGCAAGGCACCTAAAATTGGATGGATGGATGGATGGATGGATGGATGGATGGATGGATGGATGGTGGATGGAGCGATGGATGATGGATGGGTGCATGGATGGATGCATGGATGAATGCACGGATAGATGGATGCATGCATAATTGAGGGAGAGAGGGAGGGAGGAACGGAAGGAGTGAGGGAGGGAAGGAAGGAGAGAAAGAGGAAGGAACGGCAAACCATCCACACCAACATCAGGGCTGGTTGGTAGATAAGATGTCTCTTTATTAACACGTCAGCAAGAAGATTCCAGTGTCATCATGGTGGTAACCAAGGGCTCAACCTCTATAGTCTTTCTGCTCAAGTCTGGTCACTCTTCAGGTCAAACATGAGGTGGACATCTTTGGACAGGGGCTGTTAATGGACTTGGGCGGCCTTCAACCTAGAAATCAGAGATGCGTTCAGTGAGCCCTCATGAAAATGTGCAGTCGGTTGAAGCCAGTGTCTGTTCCCCATCTTCACTTACAAGTCCTCTACTTTCTGTATAATGGTTGTCTGGATCAATGAGAACCCTGGACAAAACATGTCCTGTGCAGACTCTGGCATACAGAGAGCACTTAATAAAAGCTAGCATTGCATTTTCTGATGCTTTTTAAGCATGTAGCTTCCAGCTATGTGTCAATCATGTCTTTCACCCCACCCCCACAGCAGCTACCAGGGCCATCTCTCTTGGATAGGGCACGGTGACTGCTTCAGGCATGCTCCTCGTATTGGAATGGTTCCACCTCCAGCCTTTCACTTTCCAGAACTAAACAACATTCAGTTATGGCCAACTGCATTGTGCAAAGCCCAAGGAGCGGATGTATGGCCAAAAGTCCCTGCTGGTAGCAGGTTCAAATTCTGAACGCCCTCACTCCTACTGAGACCCTGTATCTCAAAGTAGAATTAGGACAGCAACATCTACTTGTCCCTGCCCTCACTGCTTCTGAGTGCAGACTCCTCACTCAGGAAAACGAAAAGCTCCCCATGCTAGGTCTCCCTTCCACTACCAAGGCTAGCCGCCCAAGCCACCCAGACCCTTACCTATGGGTCTCCTCACCTTAGCATTCTGAGCAAGACACTCTGAAGCTTGGGTCATCATATGAGTCACACCTGAGGTGAGATATGCTGCAGAGGGCAGGGGAGAACAGCGAGATGGAAAATAGCCTACCACCAGAGCCTACCTAGACCCAATCCCTTAACGGCAGAACAGGGCATGGGCCGAGTGGGAAGCACAGTCCTGAGCCATCATCGTGTGTAAACTTCAGAACTGAAGTCCAGGAAAGAAGCCCTCAGCCTGGAGTCATGGCAGGGGGGTACCATGGGAGGTTGATAAGGCCACCGTAATGTGGACCACAAAAGGAAAGAAGCCCTTGGAACTTCATGCCCCCGACTCATATTAGAGCCACCAGATGATTGGGATGGGCCTCTGGCTGACGTCATCCCCACCCACGTGTACCCAGGTAGGCACACAAGGCAATTGGTCACGAGAACTTACCTTTGTCTCACTTGATCTATGCGATCCTGCATGACATCTTCTATCATTTCGCTTGGCACTTGGAAGATACGGGTGTGGCTGGAAAACACCATCGCCCCATGGGGATCCTCAGCTGCTTTTTATATCAGCTGAGCCTAGCAAGGCTACTGGAATCAGGACTACCGGAACAGTAGCGGGGACTCCAGATGCATGTGCCTAAGAACCCACCCCCACTCTTCTGTTTCTTAAATAACAAAGGACCTCCCAGTCACCCAGCCTGTGGTTCCAAAGGTACAGGGAAAGAGAAGCTGGCCACCAGCAGGGTGATTGAACTGCTGCACTCCCCACTCCAAATTCCTCTCTCGTTTCATTGTGGACTCTTAGGATTGGTCCCATGACACAGGCCACTGTTTGCATTCTTTCTCTATGCTGACATAGCCTTTCCTTCTCTAGTCTGCTTCCTGTCTTTTCTCATGCCATTTCCCACTCCTCCCCTCCAGTCCCATTGTGCCCATGAAATACCCACTGCTTTAGCTGTGGTGCCCTTATGGTTCAGGCCCAAATTCTGTCTGGCCTCCCCCTCTGCCCACGGAGAGATGGGGGTATGATTGTGACTGTGGCTCCAACCAGGAGGAACCAGTTGGAGCCCATAGGAGATAAAGCAGGCAAGGCTAACGGTCCCCAACCCAAGGGGAAGGGGACCCTCCGAAAACAGGAGCCTCAGCACTGGGATGCCCAGGCTACGGGGCTCTCTTTTTCTCCTCAGTTTCCTGTTAATCAGATAATAGTACCCTATTAAAGAGCCACTCTGAGCTTCCTGAGAAGATCTGGCAACAATGCCTAATAAATGTGCAGCCTGGGTCTCAAGTTGTGCCCTCAGACCTTCCTCCAGGCTTCCCTAACACTAACTTCCACACACCCTACTGTCTGCTTCCTGTACATCCATGGGATGTAGGGCTGTACTTTGCTTTTTCCTCCTCCAGACCAGTTAGCAAGTACAGGCTGATGCATGAACACCTACTAAAAGAATGAAAAGCTAGTGCTGCCTCATGCAAAGGTGTCACCTTGACCGCCTACTACCAGAACTATGAAGAAAACCCCAGAATCAGTGCATTCTGGGAAAGAACAGATCGTTCACTTCCAATCTCCACTGAAAATTCAGAGTGGAGAAATACCATGTAGAGAAACAACTGATGTTCACGCCTGCCTCAGAAATCTTAAACTAATTGTAAAGCCAGGATTAAAGCAATATTAGAAGATGAGGTTGGTCCAAACCAAGGAGAGTAATGTTTATAACTCCAGAGTCCAATTCAAGCAAGGAGAAGCTGGGATTGAAGTGAGTAATGCTGAGGACCTCAATGCATTTCTAGAGAAAATCTCTTCACTGGGGGCTCTGAAATCCCACCATTGGTTGGCCCTCCCTAGAAGAGCCAGTACATATTCAAACACTCTACAATACGTTGTCACTGGCAAAGTGAACTCACGAATACCCGAACCCTGAAACAAAACTAAGCTTGCTGAGGAACGCAGTTTCCCCAAGAGAAGAGCAAAGTGGACAACATGACCAGAGGGACAGAGGAAAGAACAAGCCCCTTGGTCACGTATGGACTAGCTCGAGGAAGGAAGGATGTGATGATCTGGCCCTGATGGACTCAGGGAACAAAACTGGGATGCCTCTGCAGGAGTGGGGTGACTTCAGCACCCCACCCCCACCCGCGCCCCACACCTGGAGTTACAGCATCTTCAGGACCAAGTAAGGCTTGTGAGGACACGGGCTGCACCAAGGTGGCAGGAAGGTGACAACGTAGCTTTGTCACAAAGTTCTTGCCTCCGGTGCCGGGAGACCTCGGCACTGCCAGGCTCTCCGCACTGCAGAGTCGCAGATGAGCGCTTTGGCTTTTGCATTTTAAGAGCTATTTTCTTTCGGGGCTTTCAAGTGCTGCCACTTCTGAACAATTCAAGAGCAAAAAGAACAAGAATCCGAAACATATTCAGAAGCATTTAGGAAAATGGAGAGCAAGACCAGTTCCCCAGCTGCTGAGGTCATTTAAAAACGTACGAAGGAGCTAAGCCTTCCAGATAGCAAGACTCTTGCCGTAAGTCGCCAAAGCGTGACTGAGGCATTTCTCTGCCAGCAGAGGTGGTTTCTCTAGAACTAATGCGCCTGCTCAGGAGGCTGCCCAGCTCCCTGGGTACGTACCTCCATCTTATAAACTGGATCCTCGTTCTCTCCTCCAGGACTTCCTGATTAGGGTCTGCTAACATATCAGACTTGGAGAGTTGGTGCTTTACCTGGGAAATCGAGATTGAATACGTGTGGTTACCAGTCAGTGTGGAGGCCCACAGCTGGGATGTGCCCTTTGCCCAGGATCCCTCACCCCACACTGTCACCCCCACTTCCCCACAAACTCAGTTACCAAATCTCTGGTCACATGTATGTCGTGTCCGTGAGTGGGAGGGATGTTGGAAGACATCTTCTTCTTTATGTTCCGAGAAGCCTCCTCTTCTGTCTGGAAGATGAAGGTGAATAGTTTCCCTCTTGAAGTGCCAGGCTCCATCTGATCGCTTTCCAGGCCCCCCTCTTCTTCCTTCCCCTGTGCCCCTCCCTTCACAACACAAACACACACACTCGCACATGCACACGCACACACACACACACACACACACACACACACCACTCTAGCTCCATTCCCCCCAGTTTCTACACAAAGCTCCTCCATTGCTATTCCCCTCCGAACCTTTGGGACCTCCCCTAAGCCCTCGGCCCTATCCCAAAATACTTGGGGGACCACCTTGAGTAGAAGTCCCTCCTCTAGGATGTTTGGTAAGTCAGTGAGTAGCGATGCCGACACAAAACCCCACATCCTCTCAGACATTCGAGTGAATTAAAGTCAACACTAGACACAAACTTGAGTTTCTCAGTATACAGAGAGTGGAGCCCTGGTTCCTGCCCACCTAGTGATAACTGCACTCTGGAACTTGAGGCACTGAGTCACAGAAGAATTCTACTCACTTTATTCAACCAATGCTGCACTACGGATATGGCTTCACTTTCCACAACTTCAATGTCCTGGAACAAATTGGTTAAGGTGATGACCTCAGAAACCCTAGAGACCCACCCGCCACCGCTGCTAGTGTGACATGTTGTGAGGTGTCTGTGAAGCACCCCAGAACCACAGAAGAAGAGAAGATGGAGAGTCCCAGTTCCATGTGGCCGCCACCACCACTCACCGAGTTTGCCTTTGGTGGGAAGGGTAGCCCTACACTTTTCCGGGTAAAGATGTACACAATCCATGTTGTGATGATCATCTTGAGATTTACAGAGGGCCTTCTTGGCTCCCTCCTTCCATTGAAGCTGCTTGAGAACTTCTATGGAATAGGAAGGTAGTCGAAGGGAGACCCCCTCCCCCTGATTGGTTGACGAGTGATGATGTGACAATGAGCTCTTTCAACTTCTGGGGTCAGAGTGCAGAGGGAAAAAAGGGGTTTGAAGACTTCTTCCTTATGACATCTCAGAAAAGAGGGGACTTGGGAGATGAGGATAAACTATCCCCAGTAAAATCCCTGGGCAAGATACAAAGAGGATACCTAGCGAATAGACAGAAAGTCTCAGGGTGGCTCTCTATCTTAAGCAAAGCTAAGTAAAATTTTAAAATGAAATAAAAATATTTTACAAATCGAAAGAAACAATGATGACTGAAGCATCTGAACCCTTTAGATATCCATTCAGACCAGTGTCATGGTTATTTCATAATCTTCTCTTATGTGCAGGAGGAAATGAAACTGTTCCCCCAAACTGCCCAAAGAAGCAAATGCTCATTACAGATAGTTGTAATTTTTTTTGCCTGTTCTCACTATGCAAATAACTCAATCATTGAAAAGTAGACCAGGGCCTGAGGAGAAGATGGTTTAGCCAGTAAAGTACTTGCTTTGAGAACATGAGGACTAAAGTTTGATCTTCAGAACCATAAAGTGTGTGTGCATGTGTGTGGTGTGTGGTGTGCAAAAGTAGTTGTATCCCATGGGGTACTCAGAAATTGTGTGTATCCACCAGTCTCAGAATGGCTGCCAAAGCAAAGGTGAAGAGCGAAGCAGGGAAGCCAGGAAGCCATTACTGGCTTAAGAAAAGCTGTTCCAGCCAGGCGGTGGTGGCGCACGCCTTTAATCCCAGCACTTGGGAGGCAGAGGCAGGCGGATCTCTGTGAGTTCGAAGCCAGCCTGGTCCAAAGCTAAAGAGAAATCCTGTCTCGAAAAAAGAAAAGGGGAGGGAGGGAGGGAGGGAGGGAGGGAGGGAGGGAAG